GTAGACCTCCAATACTTTCTATAAACCTGTAGGAATATCTGTAGACCTGCAGTACTATCTGTAGACCTGCAGTACTATCTGTAGACCTGTAGGACTATCTGTAGACCTGCAGTACTATCTGTAGACCTGTAGGACTATCTGTAGACCTGCAGTACTATCCGTAGACCTGCAGTACTATCTGTAGACCTGCAGTACTATCTGTAGACGTGTAGGACTATCTGTAGACCTGCAGTACCACTTTAAAAGTTAAAAGAACTAAAGACGAAATCAGGAATTTATCTTTAGAACATGATAATACTGGACTGGAAGTCATCATCGGTTTGGGGAGCTGTTCTGTAACCAGTGGGTTGCTGGTTTGATCCCCCATTCCATCCGTCTCAGTCATTGTGTGGATCCAGGACAGCTGGAGCTACAATGTAGCTTACCATCATCAGTGTGTGTATGAATGAGATAAAGAATGGATGAATGAACGGGTGAATGAATAATGCATTAAAAATTGTAAAGTGTTTTGAGTGTCTAGAAAAGTGCTACATAAGACTAATGCAATATTAATATTATTATGATTAGGGCCAGATTTGACCCAGCAGGAAGTTGTAATCAGAAAAATATTAAATCTGACAGGAAGTTGTGATTTGAAGGAATTTAAGTCCAAATGAAAGTTGTGATTAGGAAGAGAATTAATCCTCTGATCTGTGTTACAGGGTGCCGACCAACATGTCCACACAGGCGCCGACGTTCACTCAGCCTCTTCAGAGCGTCGTGGCACTAGAGGGTAGTGCCGCGACGTTCGAGGCTCAAGTTAGTGGTAAGAAAAGAAACAGAGTCTAACAGTCAGAGGACAACACCCTCTGTAGGTTCTCCAATAACAGTCTGAGTCTCTTCTGCAGGTTCTCCAGTTCCTGAGGTGAGCTGGTTTCGTGATGGCCAGGTTCTTTCCACCGCCGCTCTGCCCGGCGTTCAGATCTCGTTCAGCGATGGCCGCGCTGTTCTGAGGATCCCCGTTGTGACCGCCGCACACAGCGGACGCTTTTCTGTCAGAGCCACCAACGGTGCTGGACAAGCCACAAGCACAGCTGAACTCCTCGTTACAGGTGAGACAGGGACAGGTGAGGGTTAGGGGGAGGGACAGGTGAGACTGGGGANTCTGTAGGACCCTAACTGGACTGATCTTGCTGCAGGTTTAGGATGTTGAAGAGTCCTGGGTGAACGTTTTGGGTCTGATCGGAGCCTCAGAGTGACCCTCAGCTCAGTGGATCCCTCAGACCCGAGCCGGGCTCTGTGACTCCTGCAGTCTGAGGTAACCAGTTTGTTGGACCAGTTTGTTGGTGTGGTGTAACAAGCAGCTGGAGCAGGGACGGAGGTGGGGGCGTTGACTGACATGGACAGGCTTGTCCTTTTCTGTCAGCAGTGACTGAAGGACTCAGGGACGTTTGAAAGAGTCCAGATCAAAGATCCTCTTCTGGTTTCTGAGCCTAACAAAGATCTTCTGTTGTGAGTCTTCATCAGGCTGAAAATCTGTGTTTGCTTCAAATCAACCCTGGATCCTGGTCCACACAGTGACTGCTGCCATGTCCCATCATGCCCCCCTGGGTGTCCCAGCAGCCAATAGGGAGTGTGTCTTTGGTGATGATGCGGGGTGCCCCCCCTGGTATAAAAGCCCTCGGCCCCGTGTGGGCCCTCCTGAGCAGTTGGAGCATTCCCAGCCTCGCCTCGGGTGGAGGGATTGCAGGGGAACAAAACTACACGGCCCGTCTCTGTGTAGTTTTGTTTTGGTCAGGGAATATTTTGAGGCTTGACTGTTCTCATCTTGGACTTTTCTGCTCACAACCATCTGGATCAGGGGACCTCAGCTCGTTAGTCAGCCGGGCCCCGTCCCATCAATTCCAGGCACTCTTGTGGAAACAAGTGAGTAGTTCCTGCCTGGGTTGCAGTTTGGCCTGTGGTTGCTGGTTTCTGGGGACTGGGCTAAGGACTGTGGACTTTAGTTTTGGTAAAGTTTGTGAGGGTTTCTCTGTCTTCATGTATTTTGGGGTCCAGCAGGCAGCAGGGCTCTGTGGAAGGCCAAGAATAGCTGCTGAGTGCATGAGAGTGGCCCGTCAGCTGGGCCCATGGCTTTTTAAGGGAATCAGCAGCAGAGATATCAGTTCCACCTTCAGCTATGTTCCACATGTGGCTGTCAATCAAACTGACCCGGGGGGGGCAGGGGCTATTTATAGTTCCTGCCTTATCTGTCTCTCAGACCTGAAAATACCAGCCGGGTCCATCTGGTTCAGGATCAGTCTGAGCTCAATCTGACTCTTTGGTTCATGATTGATCAAGTCTTCAGTCAGACCTCAGATCAGCTGAGGGTCCTGGTGAGACGTTCAGGGTCTCACTTTGTTGGAACGAATCATTAATTCTGATTCTGAAGACTAACCTGTTCTGACAGAACCAGTTCTGAGTTCATTTCAACCAAAACTCTGTAGCTTCAGCTGAATTTTCTATTTCTGTTGTTTGTTTTTGATTTAAGCTTCAATGTTTCTGATCCAAGAAGCTGTCGCATCTTTCTGCTTTATTTCAGTGTTTTAGGTGAATTTTAATCAAACAGAAAGAAACGTTTCAATGAAACACAACTAAATCTGACTCAGTCTGATAAACGTGTTTCTCAGACTGAGTCAGATTTATTTGATTTAAACTTTCTGTTCTGATATTTTCAGATTAAATGTGGTTTTATTTCTCTGCTTGTTTATCCAAATTAAGATGATGAATACTTTCTACTCTGTGCTTAAAAACACTAAAGGCTACAGTTATACACATTAATATGATTTTATTTAATTAAATATATTAGTTCCAACAGTCATTCAGAGAAGACACACCATAATCCTGCAGGACTAACTGTAGACCTGCTTGTCTAACTGTAGACCACCAAGACTAACTGTAGACCACCAYGACTAACTGTAGACCWSCWWMWCTAACTGTAGACCACCAAGACTAACTGTAGACCACCAGGACAAACTTTAAACCTGCAGGACTAACTGTAGACCTGCTTTTCTAACTGTAGACCACCAAGACTAACTGTAGACCACCGAGACTAACTGTAGACCACCAGGACTAACTGTAGACCACCAGGACTAACTGTAGACCACCAGGACTAACTGTAGACCACCAAGACTAACTGTAGACCACCAGGACTAACTGTAGACCACCAAGACTAACTGTAGACCTGCTTGTATAACTGTAGACCACCAAGACTAACTGTAGACTGCCAAGACTAACTGTAGACCACCAGGACTAACTGTAGACCACCAGGACTAACTGTAGACCACCAGGACTAACTGTAGACCACCAGGACAAACTTTAAACCTGCAGGACTAACTGTAGTACTGAGACAGTCACTGTAGACCTGCAGGATTAAGTTTAGACCTGCAGAACTATTTTTTATTTCTTTATTTTATGATTCATTCATTTCATAACAAGTAAAATGAAAGGCAGCAGAAAGAAGAGAAAAATATTTAATACAATAATAATGTTTAGGTAACAAAACAAAACAGCTCTTATAAATACACATTAAACAATTTCATATTTTTTTATTTTTACTATTT